CCCCCCACCCAGCAAAACCCCCCCCCGGCCCCCCCACAGCCCCCCATCCAGACACAAGCACTGGTCCAGCCGCAGGCGATCGTCCCCGCACAGACTCACATCGTGGCGGCTTCCACAGTGCAATCGACTGTTATTGCCCACACGGCCACGACCCACGCCTCAGTCATCCAGACTGTCAACCACGTCATTCAGGGTCCACAGACCAAGCACATTGCTCACATTGCACCTTCTACGTCCAGCCCCGTGCAACTCACCACTGCTGCTCAGCCCATCGGCCACATCACTGTGCACCCAGCCACCATCAACCACATGGCCCACCTGGGCCAGCAGCTGCCCATCTACCCCCAGCCCGTGGCCGTCAGCCAGCCCGTGGTGAGCCACATCGCTCACACCATCTCGCACCAGCAAGTGAACGGAACCACCAGCCTTGGCCAGCAAGCGGTGATGGCCAAGCCTGCAGTGGGAACCCAAGTTGTCCATCACCCACAGTTAGTTGGGCAGACGGTCCTCAATCCAGTGACTATGGTGACCATGCCATCATTCCCAGTGAGCACACTGAAGCTGGCCTAGCGGATCGTCTGGTGGCAAGGGCTTTGTTGGGAACCTTTCCTAAACTCCATACATTCCAACCACGTCCGACTGGGCGGGAGGAAGTGCAGGCGCGGGAGGCCGGGCTGGGCTGCCCTCCTGCCACCGGCGCGGCCTCTGCACTTGAGGTTTGCTGATCCCAGAAAACTTCACAGACAGTTGTTCATGGTGATTTTTTTTCCTTTTACGTGTATTCAGTGAAATATGGATATGATGTTCTTAAGACTTTAATTTTCCCCTCTTATGTGTTGCTTCTTTGTAGAATAAAAAATTGCTGATCTCTTTATTGAGACATCGCGTAGAATGGGAAAAAAATCATAGAAGTCTATATTTATATATATGTGTGTATGTGTGTGTATATATATGTATATACATATATATATAAATATAACATTTGAAGAAGGCCTTTTGTAAGGTTGATTATTTTGCAGGATTATTAGACAAAATTCATTTTTGGAGGAAGAAGACAGAGTGTCCTCTCTAAACAAGAAACTTTAAGATAGATGGTTTGGTGGACCAGGGTACATATACAGTGACAAAAGAAAAAAAAAAAGTTAAACCATGTTAGAGGTATTTCCCATCAATATTATTACATTTCAAAAAACCATCTAAAATCACTGTGACTTGTTACGGCATTTTAAGGAAATTCTCTGTCCTGTCTAATAAAAAGGAAAAAGAATACACAACCAGACTTCATTTGTTGCAGTTTTATAAATGACTTGATTTTTATAGCTATGTCAGAACAATAATGTATTTTATTATTTGAATGGTTGACAATGTTTTTGTTTGGGTGGTTTTTTGGGGGGTATGTTTTTTGTTGTGGCTCAGTTTTGCTGATGCAATAATTGATTTTGCAGATCTCTGTGCATGGCACTCCCCCTTCCAGGACTCCTCCTGCCAGCCCCAAGCCCCCAGGTTTCCTGGGTTCGTTTTTGTTTTGCAGAGGCAGATACTAGACTGTGCTTTTGCCTTGAAAGGTTGGACTAGATGATCCATGAGGTCCCTTCTAACCTGCGTTTCTGTGGTTTTGTGCTGGCAACTTGCAGTGTGTCTGTCTGGCCTGGTAGAGCAGAACCTGGGACAAGACGAGCACCAGGAATGAAGTAGGTTTGCTGCTTGGGTTACTTCTCTCTGTGAGTTTATTCCTGAGCTGACCGCGTTGTGGTGTGGGAGTCAGTGGCTTAGAAAAGGGATAAATGTGCATGTGGTGTCTTGCCATGTGTGAGCAGTTTTGACATCTTTTTTACTTTGGAGGAAAAGAAAACTGTGGTCTTGCACAGGATAACATTATGCTCCAAGAGATGTGTGTGTGATGTGTGTCTTACAGTGTACAGTGAGATGTGCACCAAAGAACAACCCCTCATCCCAAGGGACCCTCTTGTTCCTTCCTTCCTGGTGCATAGGTCAGATCTCACTGAAGTCAAACTCCCATGGAGTGATGAGCAGAGGAAGTTGTTTGGCTCTGGGGGGTTCTTGCCAGCCTGCCTGGGAGGTTGACTCCAACATTCTGGTCCTGCATAGTACTGCTGTTGTTGGTCTCTTCTGTCTTCCTCTCTTTTTAAAAAACAAATACTCCTCAGTCCTCAATGCAGGCAAAATTCCTGCTGTAGCCAGTGGATGTTTTCCCTGGGGCAGGATGGGATGGTCCCTGCCAGCATCCAGCTGGGTGTGCTTGGCAGGGGACACATGTTCAGACGAGGTGGGGCTGAGCAGACACCTTCCCTGGGCTGCTGCCTCCTTCTTTGGGCCGAGAGCTTCCACAGGAAAACATGATCCAGAGTCTGCCCAAAATGCCTGTTGACTCCAATGGGACTTTTTGCCTGGTTGTGAGTGGCTGTGGACAGTGGTAGAGATCTAATTACAAAACCTTGCTAGATCCATGCAGCCAATGCTGTGGCTGAAGGAGTAGCTGCTGCAGACAGATCGAGCACGATTGTGCCTTCTGAGCAGACATGGCTGTGGATCATGTTAAATCTCTCTATAAAGCCTTGGATTGCTCTGTAGTTTTAATTTCTTTGTTTCTTTTTCCTTCCATCCTTGAGCCCAGCACCCTCTTGTCCTCCCCATGTTGCTGGCTCAGTTTCTACAAATCTTTAAGGTTTCCTTATCTTTAAACCACATTTAAACAGATAATTTGTTCTCATTCCTAGTGCACTGTAACGCTGCAGGGAAGCAGAATCTCCAGGGCTTTATCATTTCCTTGTATATGCGGGTGCTTTCCCAAGGACCTGGTGGTTTGTGAGCCAGAATTTCAGAGCTCAGTGTTGGGTATCAGGGCAGTTGCTCCTCATAAGAAACTCTTGAAAACTGAGTGTTTGCAACAAGGTCACCTCCCTTCTCAGGAGGAACTGCGTGGCTTTGCCTTCTGAAGCAGCATTAAGGGGGAAGAAGCATCTTTCTGAGGTCTCTTCTGTTCCGGTTTGAGGCAAGGAGCCTCATTTCTAGTCAGGATTGGCAGAGCTTACTGTAGGAGAGCAGTCCTGGATTGGGAATTGGGGCTTGGCCCATGTGTGCTGGTCAAGGGCCCCTGGTCCCCCTTGTTCCCTGTGTGCCCTCTTGGCAGGAGCTGCGGGACCAGCCTGTGTGCTTTCTCCTGCTCTGCTCACGGGCAGATTTGCAGGATGGTTGCCTTCTGTGTCAAAACTGCTCCCACCTTACCCCCTTTGCTTCTTATCCCAACATAGTTACCAGTGATCCAGGCATGCAGCTGCTGTGTGTTTTCCATAGCAAAAAGTGTAGGGCTGGAGAGAAGAGATCCCATTTTGTTCAATACGGGCAAATGAACTTGCTGGCAGGTGAGTTACTGGCCTTCACCGTATGGAAGGGATGCTGCTGACCTCTTCCTCCTTATGGTTTAAAGGTGTCACTGTCACTGCCCTGCTCACATACAAGGCCTCCCATCTCTTGCCAGTTTTTCTCTCCCGTTTGGGTTCCCCAGTGCCACTGTCTGAGCCCCTTCACAGGTGTTACCTCCACTTGCGGAACAGCCTGTCCCGCTTGGCCAGCCTCTGGGCTCGTGTCCCCCATTCTCATCTGCCTTCTCCAGGGCTACCAGAAATGTTTATTGGGGGTTTGGTTTTGAAAGCTGGCAAACTTCTCTCTGCTCGGTGGGGAAAACAGCAAACCACAGCCCTTCTCTCCTTCCTGCTCAGAAACTTTGGATTTATGCTAATGCTCTTAGGAATCATGTTCAGTACTGTATAACAAGGGGCACTTTAGAAATGTCTCTCCCCCTTTGATACATGTGTTTTCCCTATGGAGAAAGCTATATATAAATATATATATATATGTACACTTTGGGATTCAGAAGATCTCATTTGTCCCCCCCAAAAAATCAATAAATATGAAGTTTACAAGAAATCTCTTCTGTTGTTGAATAATATTAGTTGTTGGTAACCAGACCACAGGAAAAAAATAGCAAATGGGTTTCCTATGATGTAGTTTTGAGAAGAGTTTTCTGTCCTGTGGAGCCTGACTTGGAGTCAGTAGGTTAGTGGAGATGCTTCCACCCAGGGCAACTCAGGGTGCCTTGTCTGGGGGATCCAGGCTGCCCTGTCCTGGCGGGCGGGTGGTTTTGCTCTCGGGGCAGCGGGGCTGGTGACTGGGCCGCTCTGGCC